AGCATATTTTTCAAAATGAAGATGTTCACATGAAATCAAATTGTAAACAGATTCACATTTTCACATATTTTATTTTTGCAAATTAATGATGACTGAATACATCAACATATAATATTTCCTCTAAAACTCAGAGAGAAAATTCACCATTGGTCCATAAATTCAACAAATATCTTAAACATATAAATAAAAGTTAAAGTCAAAAGTTGATAAACAAAATAAAACAAACTTAAGAAGACATCTAAGAAGTAGTAAGTATAATCTTTTAAAGCAATACTCTTGGTCTTAAAAGAGGTACTCAATGAAGACAGACTGTATTTTTAAAATCCAAATAAAAAGTTTCAAATGTTCACAGGAATAAGTGTGTTCATGCTCATCAGGCCCTGTGCAAGGAATTATGTATGGCTTTGAATAAGAAGCAGACTCCTCAGCTACTGGTGATATTTCTATGTGGCCACCTATCTTTTAGAAGATAGAAAACCAGTTTTACGATTCTTTTTGTACAGATGAAGAATGTCACACAAACATGAGTTATATTTTCTGAAATAGTAAAATTAAATATAGGAAGTTCAACCTCTAAATTTCTCTTTAGTTCTAAAAGCATTGGGAATATAGCACGTGTCATTTAAAAATCACTTTTTATACCACTAGTCTGGGGGCAAATGGTTATGAAAATTGCCTTTATTTTAGGTCTATGTGTAAACACCCCAAACAAATAGAAAACAAAATGAACCCATAAAAATGCAGCAAGAAAACCCAAATCCCAAACTAAACCAAAAAAAAAAAAAAAAAGAAAAAGAAAAAAGGAAAAAGTCCCATATAACTTGATAGTTTTAAATTGTTAAATAGCAAAGAAATTTATGGGCTGTGTCTATGAGGTGGTGGACAGAAAACGATTAAGTGTCATAAATGCTTTATATATCTTATAATATACTGTGTAGAATTTTCTTAACCCTCATCATATTTAGAAAACAAGATTGAGCTTTTATGAAGAGATTTGTGTTATGACAGTATGTGTTCAAATTACAATTCAGTTCTTGAGTAAGTTTCAGACTCTAAGAATCATGCTTTGGTTTACAGTGTTGACCTTGGTTGATTGCCAAGCCGGTGGTCTTTCTTTAGCTAGAATCTCCTCTGAAGTTTATTTTTGAGAAGGACAATATAAAATGTCACAGTCACCAAGACTATCCAAGATGTTTTAAGTATATTGGATTATTTCAATATAATACATTTTCTACTATGGACCTGGTCCTCCTTAATATTTAGGAAAAAATATCAAAGCACAATAAAAATGTGAATATTTTGGGATGTCATCATTGTGGATTTGGCCTGGACTATCTTACAAAGGAAACGGTACAACCACCTGTTAGGTAAAGTGCAGTAATTTTGGTATAGATCAAAAACTATAAAACTGGTGAACCAACGAAAATGCTTAATGTTTCATTATCTAGATGTTCCCAAGTATTTTACAAATTGAAAATAAATAGGCCAAGCCAAATAAATTATTGTCATTTGAATCTTCTTTGTAGGTAGTTCTATAGGGTTGGGAAGTTCAATGGAGTATTCCACCAACAGTAGTTTTGATCCGCCAGAAAGGAAAAGGAAACAAAAAGCAAAAACAGGAAACAGGACACGAGTGATTTTCATGTATATTTATCTTCTTCAAACATTTTCAAGGTGGAGATGCTATATTAACAACAGAAAGATGACTGCATGATATCCTAAAACAGCTTCAACATTCATTATTTTCAGGGAATACATGTCACCGGGGGCAATACTTTTAACCAGGTGTAAATCACACTCAAGAAGACCTGGCCTCTACAGCTGAGAAGCCACACTGTGTCCTTGCTCTGTGTGAGGAAGAGCACTGCCAACATGAGTTTGTTTAGCAAACATTCAGATGTGATTTCACTTACTTGTTGGTCTTTTACTTGCCACTGAGTTAACGCAGATTCAAACTGGTTGCTCCTCTATTGATTTCAGCAGCAGATAAGCTGATGTAATATGGGGCAGTACTGTCTTCTACGCAAATTCTTCAATGGTTTCATAGAGGTAAACACACCCAAGTGCTAAATGCCTGGCCTTTTCAGATAGATGCAGACCTACCTTGACTTTCACAATAAGCCTGTATTCATTTCCACAGGACAACGTTTTCACACAATGTAAGGCAAAACAGGTATTAAATTACTTAACAGAACTCATGTTTAAATAATTAAAACTAATTTGTGTTTAAAGCTATTTGCAGATTTATTAGAGAAACAAATACAAATATGCATTTCTACAGAACTGTTTTTGTTTTCCAAAATGAGCTTAAAACTTGTTCCACAGTTTTCACTTGTTTATATATCTAATGGCAACCCAAGTATTGGCCTCTGCACCACTTTTAATGAGACAATTGCCCTTCCATCGCAATTATAAAAAACTATTTAAAAAAAAATCCAGCACATACACGTTAAATATTTTCCTTAAAAAAATAATCTAATCAAAATATTGAATACTTTAGATTTAAACAATATTTTATTTACAAATCTGATTTGATGTACTTTATTAATTATACAAGGTAATGCTTCAATTTTTCAAGAACAGTTACTTTTTGTTTTTATAGACCAGTGGAATGACATCCTATCTAGTAATATGTTCTACACTTCATTTTTTTTTCAAAATTAATACAAGTTTCTGATACTTTCTTTTTTTTGTAAAAATGTTATTTAATTGGGGGCACAAATCTGATGAAACAAAAATAACATGCATAATTCCAAAACAATTTTAATTAATGATACTTACCCTTTACGTAAAAGACATCTATGGACAACAGTGCACAACAATAGTATGTACTCATGTTTATGAGAAACCAAGCAGGAGGCAAGATGAGTTCATCCTGTTTTCTAATCATAAGCAATTTCATATGGCTGTTTGCATCATTTAAATAAAGTGTATATATTAAATTTCTAGGATTGCATTGCACTCAAAATTATTATGTATAGCCATGCTTGCCCTGTATTTGATGATCAATGAATTTCGGCTACTAACAGAGTAACTGGTCTCAAATTGTGTATGTGATGTAGAGTGTTA